CGATAACGTGACGTAAATGTCCGCCTGCTCTACGACTGTCGTGAATGAGTGACCCCGCCCACCTTTCCCTTTTCTCATCAACTGCGGTGCTTGAGGACTGAGGACTATGTGCGTCTTGAAGCTGTTTTTTATTACTGTATCGAACACTTTGCTCTCCCCCTCTTTCTCTCTCGTTCTCTCCCTCTCTTTCCCTCTCTTCCTCCCTCTCCCCATCTCTCCTCACACCCTCTTTCTCTCTTCTTCCCTCTCCCCCTCTCTCCTTTTCACCTTTTCTTTCTCTTTCTTTCTCTCCCTCCCTCTGTGTATTATGTGTGTGTGTGTGTGTGTGTGTGTGTGTGTGTGTGTGTGTGTGTGTGTGTGTGAGCTTGTTCGATGAGTCTAATGACCAATAAATAATAGATCTGTTTCCCGGCATCCCTGAAAAAATATTATGGAAAACATTCTCTTAAGAGTGGAGGGAAGATAATGACAAAATAAGAGGAAATTCTATCAACCATTTGACACCAACATTATAATGTGACAAGAACCAATTAACTCAGTTTAAAAAGAAAATCGAAACGATTTTGAAACGGAAAATAAACACGCACAAAAGGATCGTATTTCTTAGAGACCACACAATTCATTTGCTTGGTGTCTATTCAGATAGAACTCTTAAAACAGGAGTACGGCTTTATGGCTAACAACAACAACACCAACACCAACACCAACAGCAGCAATAGCAATTCCAACAGCTACAACAGCAGCTACCACAATCATTCTCTCCTCCATCCTTTATTTAAAGCTCCTCGCTCTCTCCCTCACCTGTCCCTGTATCTAGCTCAGTGCTCTTTTCTCTCCCAGAGCTTTCTTTAACCCCCCTCCCTCAACCCCCAACCCCCCTCAAAGACTCTCATCACCCTTTCCGCGTACGTGTACCTAGCTCTGTCCCGTCTTTTCCCCATCCGCCCCAACCACCCGTTCCTTGTCCTCGGCTCACTTCTTCCTTTTCTATCAGCACTTTCTTTTATCCTTAAAATTATCATACGTGTACTTTTCTCTCTCTCTCTCTCTCTCTCTCTCTCTCTCTCTCTCTCT